ATATTGGCTTTCTTGGAAATATGAAATTGCTGGAGAGAATTCGAAATTGCTGACCAGGGGAGCGATGTTGTTCAAGAGTACCTGTGAATTTTATTTTTACGTTAATAATTTCCAAGTTGTGAGGTGTTAGCTTTATAATAAATTGATTAATAAATTAATACTCTAGATAAAAAAGAGGAGAAAAATAAATGGAATTGAAGAAGTATTAATATATATATAAGGAAAGGAAATGTGAGGATATTTTTGATGATCTATACAGATTTGCAAAGGATCATTTATCGTGACAGTAATTATGAAAGTGATCTAAGTTTTCTGTATTTTTTTTCTTTTTTAATTAAATACGAGGAGGTTGCAAAATTCTGCCATTTTTACAAAAATAGTTTTATTTTGTTGTAATATCGGTGAATGCAATACTAAATTATTAATAGAATTATTTCTTTCGGATACTATAGTCAAATGAATGGTGAATGGAATAATAGTATAATAAAATTTAAAAAAATAGGATAACGAGATTGCACGTACATATGTATATTATAAGAAAAATCGTGAAGACGAGGGACTGAGACGACAACATTGGACGCAGAATTTCGTATGAAAATTTCAAGAATGATCATTTAGGCTATGGAAAGTTAATATTAATACATATTTCCATCAGAAAAGTTATATATTTCGATGCATCGCAGAATATTGATAAAAAGAATAATGATCTATCGCAAACAATAAATCACTTCTATCACAAAGACGGTACAATTTGACACATCACGATGCTGATAAAAAAATTAGGGATCTATTGGAAATGCAAGAGAGTAAATTCGATTATGGAGAACTAAAAAGAGTCCCTTACACGCGAAAATAAAAAGAAAAATCCCATGAGACGAAATATGGAGTTCATCACAAAGACCGATACAATTGGACACAATGCACAAAGACAATACCATTCAACACATTGCACAATATTAATAAAAAAATTAGGGATCTATTAGAAACGTGAAAGAGTAAATTCGATTACAGAGAATTAAGGAGTCCCCCACACACGAAAATAAAAAAAAAAAAAAAAATTCGAATCTAAATAAATCCCTAATTAATAAGAATTTTCATGATTCGATGCATCACACAATATTAATAAAAAAAAATGAGGGACCTATTGGAAATGCAATAAAGTAAATTCGATTTCGTAGCACTACAGAGTCTCTCACACACGAAAATCAAAAAAAAAAAAAATTCGAATCTAAATAAATTCCTAATTAATGAGAATTTTCATGATTCGATGCATCACACAATATTAATAAAAAAAAATGAGGGACCTATTGGAAATGCAATAAAGTAAATTCGATTTCGTAGCACTACAGAGTCTCTCACACACGAAAATCAAAAAAAAAAAAAATTCGAATCTAAATAAATTCCTAATTAATGAGAATTTTCATGATTCGATGCATCACACAATATTAATAAAAAAAAATGAGGGACCTATTGGAAACGCAATAAAGTAAATTCGATTTCGTAGCACTACAGAGTCTCTCACACACGAAAATCAAAAAAAAAAATTCGAATCTAAATAAATCCCTAATTAATGAGAATTTTCATGATTCGATGCATCACACAATATTAATAAAAAAAAATGAGGGATCTATTGGAAACGCAATAAAGTAAATTCGATTACGGAAAACTGGAGTCCCTCATACATGAAAATTGAAAAAAAAAACTCGGGACCTAATGAACCCCTAATTAATAAGAATTTTCACAATTGGACGCTTCACAAAATATTGATAAAAAAAAAATTAGGGGTCTATCGGAAACGCAATAAAGTAAATTCGATTACGTAGCACTACAGAGTCCCTCACAAACGAAAATAAAAATAAGAAATAAAATTTCGAGACCTAATGACTGCCTAATTAATACGCATTTCTACAATTAAATTGAATCACAAAATATTAATAAAAAAAATAGCGATTCAACCGCCTCATAAATCATTTCCATCACAAAGACGCAGCAATTCGACGCACGGCGTTATATGAAGGAAAAAACAGGGGTCCATGTGAAAGGCGGGAGGGTGAATCGGAGTAGGGAAAAGTAAGGAGTCCCTTACGAGCGTTTAAGCCGGGAGCGAGCGGGAAATTAACTCGAATTTTCGCGCGGTCGGGATACTCGCCGGTCCGACGAGCGTTGCATAGCCGTGAGAAGGCCGACGCGGTCGAAGCAGACCGCAGACCGCGTCTGCGGTCTTTCCGCCAGCCGTTCCGCTACTTTTTGGACTTTCCTGCCACGGGCGCGATTATCGATCGCCGCCGGTCGCGGCGTCCGGACGCCGAATTAAGCCCTTGACCGCAAAACCGGCCAGCCGATCGTCTTCCGTTTTAAAATCGGCCTTCCCCAATTTTCCTCGCGCCACCTGCTTATGCCACTGTCATACCACTCCACCCAACGTTGCCATAACCTAATCGAATTTTCTCGTCGTCATTGCTTTCCTTTCCGTTGCAAAATTTATTTATTTTTTAAATATTGGAAATATTGGGTCCCTAATTTTGCCACTGTCATACCACTGCACCCAATGCCGCCATAACCTAATCGAATTTCCTCGTCATCATTCCTTCTCCGTTGCAAAATTTATTTATTTATTTATTTTTTAAATATTGGAAATATTGGGTCTTTAATTTTGCCACTGCCATACCACTGCACCCAACGCCGCCATAACCTAATCGAATTTCCTCGTCATCATTGCTTTCCCTTTCCGTTGCAAAATTTATTTATTTATTTTTTAAATATTGGAAATATTGGGTCCCTAATTTTGCCACTGTCATACCACTGCACCCAACGCCGCCATAACCTAATCGAATTTCCTCCTCATCATTGCTTACCCTTTCCATTGCAGAATTTATTTATTTATTTATTTATTTTTTAAATATTGGAAATATTGGGTCCCTAATTTTGCCACTGTCATATCACTGCACCCAACGCCGTCATAACCTAATCGAATTTCCTCATCATCATTCCTTCTCCGTTGTAAAATTTATTTATTTATTTATTTTTTAAATATTGGAAATATTGGGTCTCTAATTTTGCCACTGTCGTACCAGTGCATCCAACGCCTCCATAACCTAATCGAATTTCCTCGTCGTCATTGCTTTCTCTTTCCGTTGCAGAATTTATTTATTTATTTCTTTTTTAAATATTGGAAATATTGGGTCTCTAATTTTCGTCTTTAATTTCGCCAGAGTTTGAGTTGAATTTTTATTCCGCCATTTTGAAAATATTTTTGTTGACAGCTGTTAGTTTCGATGGAAATATGCATATATGAATTATGTTGAATAAATATTTTTGATATACAGTTTGGTGGACATGTGCATGGACTTATAGTCGTTATTCGAGCGTGAGTTAGTGCATTCGATTTTATTTCGTTGGTGAACGATCTGAAATAAGGTTTCGCGATTTTGTTAACGAGGCAGGATTGTTTGCATCGTATGCAGATGCTTTCCGCGATTATTCGAATGGCATTGGAATTGAGGCACGTAACGGTGAGTCAGAAGCAAATTCTGATATGGAGCCAACGAAAAAGCAAAATTGTAAGCAACCGCGATACTGAAATAACTAATTGCATGCGTATACAAGACAGATATGCAAATCACATCGGCACGTCGAATTAACCGGGCAAATAAATTGTTAATAAATATACACACCGGAATTTATTTTTATATCATTAAGAGAATGATCTATAGCACGTGATAAATTTTGCAGATTGCTCGTCGAGAGGCATAATTCAAGATGGTAATTTTGCGGGAATAATTATTGTCTGCGAAAGTACGTCAGAGATTGCAAACATAATTAGTGCCCAATTAGAATCGTATTATTTATCAATATTTTACTACTGCTTCGAAAAAATGGGATAAAAATAAATTATTTTGCAATTTGCGATAAATTCTAATTATTTGGTGGATTTGTGAAAGAATCATGGGAGTGATGAAAATCGTTGAGAGTGGTCGGAAAATTGCCGATTTTGTTGCGGAAAAATTGTCAGGGATTGACGAAAGAGTTCATATTTGATACAGAATAGGAGCAAACGCGATACAAAACCGAACAGTCGCTGTTCTGTCTCGTAAGGTTCCAAGGCGACGATTCTTAAGCGAAGACAGCGTGCTCAAGTGGATTCGGAAACGCTTTCGCGGAACGAATCGATCAAAGTCTGGCCCCCGGAAACCGCGGCGACACGTTCTTGAAAAGTGTACCGCGGAAGGTTAGCCTGTCAATGACGGCCAAGTGAAAGTTGGACGTCTAGACGTATTTATTTCTAGAGCGACGGACGCAGCGATTTTATTCCTGTCACAGCGACACCGAAGCCGCCTGATTGACGTAGGTGTTGCACCGATTTCGTCTAAATATAGGTGTCTGTATATGGAACGCGCGTGAAACGTTCGGCGCGTGGCATCGCTCCATTTACGCTCACGGACCAATTGGTACTGCTCGCGATCGTCGCGGAACAACTCGAGCGAGATGCACGGGACAAACGCGAATAGCGTTTCCGCGTGGAAAAGCGCTGACCGTCGAGAAATTTTCCGATCAGAGAGGACCATTTTTCGAGTGAAAAGGAACCAATTTTTCGAAAATGTCACCCCGCAATATGGTACCTTCGAAAATGACACGGTGGAGAAATGGCCCTTTGGAAAATGGTACCTTGGAAAAATGGTACTTTGAAAAATGGAACCTCGGAAAAATGGCACCTTGGAAAATGGTACCTCGGGAAAATAGTATCTTGAAAAATGGTACTTTGAAAAATAGTACGTCGGGAAAATGGTACCTTGGAAAATGGTATCTCGGGAAAATGGAACCTTGGAAAGTGGTACCTCGGGAAAATGGAACCTTGGAAAGTGGTACCTCGGGAAAATGGAACCTTAGAAAGTGGTACCACGGAAAAATAGTACCTTTGGAAAATAGTACCTTGGGAAAATAGTACCTTGAAAAATGGTACCTTGGGAAAATAGTACCTTGAAAAATGGTACTTCGGGAAAATGGAACCTTGGAAAGTGGTACCTCGGGAAAATGGAACCTTGAAAAGTGGTACCCCGGGAAAATGGAACCTTAGAAAGTGGTACCACGGAAAAATGGTACCTTGGGAAAATAGTACCTTGAAAAATGGTACCTTGGGAAAATGGCACTTCGGGAAAATGGAACCTTGGAAAGTGTTACCTCGGGAAAATGGAACCTTGAAAAGTGGTAACCCGGGAAAATGGAACCTTGAAAAGTGGTACCCCGGGAAAATGGAACCTTGGAAAGTGGTACCTCGGGAAAATGGCACTTCGGAAAAATGGAACCTTGGAAAGTGGTATCCCGGGGAAATGGAACCTTGGAAAGTGGTACCTCGGGAAAATGGTACCTTGGGAAAATAGTATTTTGAGAAATGGCGCCTTGGGAAAATGGTACTTTGAAAAATGGAACCTTGGGAAAGTGGTACCTTGAGGAAATGAAACTGTGAAAAATGGCGCCTTGGGAAAATGGAACTTTGATAAATGGCGCCTTGGGAAAATGGTACTTTGAAAAATGGCGCCTTGGGAAACTGGTACTTTATAAAATGTCCCCTTAGGAAGTGATATATTAAAAAATTGATACCTTCGAAAAAATGTCATAGATTGCCGTGCGTTTTATTCTAAATACGGGATTTTTAATCCTTATTCCAGAATAAGTGATCGACGTCTATCTTTTTGCAAGTCAAATGATTACCCTCGGCAGTTTTATAGAATAGACCCCGACTCGATTATAATATAGTATTCTTATTATACTGGTCGATCCGTAATGGTCCTCGAAAGTCAACACCTGCTCGAAGAAATTCGACGCATTTGTTAAGCAAAGAAAAAGAGGGAAAAAAATCGAGATCTGAGCGAACTCGATCGCCTACAAAGTAGGTAAAACAAATCGCGACCGCGAAGGCTCGTCGGTCAATTTTCACCCGAGGTATGCACGAGGCGTCGTCGCACTTCAAATATTGACCAACACGCCGAACAGACTATCCTCACAACTCATTTCATAGCCACTCCATCTCGACAATCCTCTCCACGCAGTCGGCTAGCAAATTAACAAAAACCTGCCCATTCGATGTACACAAAAAATCAGGTCACGTACCATTCAAATTGTTCTCTAGAGGAACACCCTTCTAGAAAGCCTCTATCAGCGCGATTACGCCCTGAGAACGTCGGGCTGAAGTCATTTAGGGACTCCAATACGTGTTTTTCTCTGGCATTTATCCATAATTGCTGGGTCTTTTTATGCTCCGTTATTAACCTCTACAAGAAGAAATTTATTAAGTCCGCGAAGGGATCGTTATTTTTCGCTTTTACGTTGACTATTTATGAGATATAATAGACCCGACAATGTTCTATTATGTTCATTATACCGTTGGAAATCGTACTGGAATTAGACAAAATCTAACTCTATATGCTATAGAGTATATTAGTGAGTATATTAGTATCTCCCGAGAGGTTAGTTTTTAATTCATTAATTATTCCGTATTATCGTCTGATAACAATTTAATAATAATTCAAAAATACCCGGAATTCATCCATATTAATGTACGTATAAAATATTGGTACAGTAAAAGATATGGTTTCTGGGTACTCTGCATCTGATACACGAAATATGGCTCCTGTCGTGATAAAGTTTGGCCATCGCTAATATATGTACAACATGGACGTAAATATATAACAAAAGTGTACTCGTTACGCATATAAACGTCCACTTTCCAAAAAAGCATATACACGATCGTTATAATGTTCATTCCTCGAGGACGTGTATATACGTTCTCCGTGTTTAAGCACCCAGTTTTTAAAGAATATATATATGCCCTTCATCCAGAAATACCCATTCTTCGAAAACACAAATATACGTCGCTCCTTCGTGAGTATCTATTCTTCTATGACGTATATATACGTCCTTCTTTCCACGGCGTCGTATATATTCGTCCTTCAACCAGAAATACCCATTCTTCGAGAACGAAAATATACGTCGCTCGTTCGTAACTATCCATTCTTCGATGACGTATATATACGTCCTTGGTCCCCGCGACGTATATGTACGTCCTTCACTCAGACATATCCGTTCTTCGAGAGTACAAATGAACGTCATTTATTCATAAGTATCCATTCATCGATGACGTATATATACGTCCTTTTTCCACGGCGTCGTATATATTCGTCCTTCAACCAGAAATACCCATTCTTCGAGAACGAATATATACGTCGCTCGTTCATAACTATCCATTCTTCGATGACGTATATATACGTCCTTGGTCCTCGCGACGTATATGTACGTCCTTCACTCAGACATATCCGTTCTTCGAGAGTACAAATGAACGTCATTTATTCATAAGTATCCATTCATCGATGACGTATATATACGTCCTTTTTCCACAACGTCGTATATATACGTCCTTTTTCCACAACGTCGTATATATTCGTCCTTCAACCAGAAATACCCATTTTTCGAGAACGAAAATATACGTCGCTCGTTCATAACTATCCATTCTTCGATGACGTATATATACGTCCTTGATCCCCGCGACGTATATGTACGTCCTTCACTCAGACATATCGTTCTTCGAAAGTATAAATGAAAGTCATTTATTCATAAGTATCCATTCTTCGATGACGCATATATACGTCCTTCGTTTTTAAGTATCCACTCTTCAACGACGTATATATGCGCTCTTCCTACTAAAGTATCCAATTTTTGAGTTTGTATATACACAATCTCCATATATAACCTTCCATTTTGCCAAGACGTATATATACGTCTCTTCGCTTATGAACATCCACTTTCCAAAACCATATATATACGAACCTATTAAGAGTCATTCTGAATGAACAGAAGTTGAATACTGTTTTAACGAGCTTTCTTCATTCTAAGGACGAAGCTTTGCTTCGTCAGCCAGCAGAGATCCGTGGAGACCTGCCGAATTGACCGACTCCACGGCGTCCTTCGTGCTCCTCTGCCCGCGATGGCAGCTAGCGGCAGAGTCTCGTTACAACAGCGGGCCGCGACAGAGGTGAAAGTCGGATGTCTAGACGTGTTTACTCGCGGCGCAATCGCGGCTGCATTGCGACAACCTCGGATGGACGGGCGGCGGAGTCGGTTTCCTCGTAAGTAACCGGCCACTCGAGCGTGTTTCTGCGGCACGCCGGGGACATTGTGTAGCCACAGAGCCCCGTCGTACGTGCGCCGCACGCGTAAAACGCGCGGCGCGCGCGCTTTCCAAATTGCACTGCGATTTCCCGAGAAATCGAGCCGACTTCGGCCTGCCAGGCACGTCCCCGGACGTATATATACGATCCACGCGCGCTCCACCCCGGCCTCTTCTTTATCGCGGCACCCCTTGCCGACGATTTAACACCCGCCCCACCTACTACCGCCTCCATCCCAGTCGTTGGATCTTCTGGAATTCTCACGCGAGCACAGTCCATAGATCGCGCGATAGCCTCGCGGAGAATCCTATCCGACCAGTCACTCTACGTGCTTCCGAGTTGCCAGTTCTGATTTTTCTCTACCAACTTTCCCTTTTCTAAATCCTTTACAACTTCGTGTACAATCGATTTCAAATCTGTTGCCACGGAGTATATACACATCAGAATTTATAGATCACAGTGTACATGTATATCAGAATTTTTCCGTTCCTTTTTCTTTTTAATTAGAGTGATAGATGGAATTTTCATTCAAAGTTGCATTCTACTATAATTGAAATAGTGTTACAGAAATTCGTGTGCTGTGATAATATTCAAGAAGTCTCACACACCTTTTAGGTGACTCTTTCCAACCCTAAATTTCACTGTATTAATCACTTTGACTTTCGCTTATCTGTTGTGTTATTAAATCATTATGAGAAAAATAGAATTCTGTTATTTGAAATTTTGATTTTGGCACCCAAAAATAATAATAATTAATTAATAATTGGCACCCCAAAATTAGCGAAAGCTCTCACTATTCTCAGAATCCCAATTTTTTAATTCCTGCCCCCAAATACATAGTACTTGCATAGTAATAATTAATTAATAATTGACATTTCAAAATTAGCAAACGTTCTCACTATTCTCAGAATCCCAATTTTTTAATTCCTGTCCCCAAATACATAGTACTTGCATAATAATAATTAATTACACACTGATTCTGTGTCTACGCTATTACTGTCTATGTTATAATTTGACTATATAATATTACAAAAATTCGTGGAGGCCATTTTTACCATTTTCACTATTACACTATACGTATTCAGACCCATATGCATGTCTTCAGACTGCTAGTACTAATTTGCTGATGCTAACATAGCGCACGCCGCAGCGATGAAGAAATTATTGGAATTCTTAAGGAGGTGGGTGATGGAGGAAAATGGTGGAGGGGGATGTTTGGAAGTTCTTAGCCGTGTTTGGTTTGAAGGTGTTGCACGTAGCTGGATGGTTTGCGAGGAGTGTACGGAGCGTGAGTTAAGTAGCTTCCAAGGAAGGATTAAATGGGATTAAACGTTCGCGAGGTCGATTCTGGGGAACCTGTGATTCATTTATCGACGAAAAAGGCAGTTTCGCTCGGATCCTCGTTAACGTTTGGCTCGCTGTTATTTTTGGGATCAATTATACGTTCGACTGATTCAGTTGCATACTCGTGCGATGACTACCTCGGCCAATCCGCGTGAATCAATGCTGAAGAGCTGAGACCTTTAAATGGCTATCTTCTCCGAGTGTACAATTTTTCGATTTTTAGATCTTTGCCTTACTTTTCGAGAATTTGAGATGCCTTTATAGTAAAAAGCAAAAATAGTTTCTCATTTAGAAAATTGTAAAAATTTAAATACTGGTAGTTTCCTTAACAATTTTTCTTGGGACTACCAACATTGGAATTTTTCGCGGGAAAAATTCTCTCTGTTATCTAAAACGATAATTAATAAAAGTATCTAAGTAGGGATGAAATTCTGGCTTTATAAAATATAAGAATACATCCTTTGGTCTTTATATTGAGCCCACAAATGTTATCGTACGACTTCTTCTCACAAAATTATAATTGTTCAAAAATGAACGTAGTATAGTTCAAAAATGAATCATAATTAACGTAGTACGTAGTATAGTTCTGCTCCTCAGTCTAAACGGTTAACAATAGAACTACCGATCTTTAGTGGGCACCTAACTATAAGGTGCACAGATTTCAGATAATTTCAGTGATACGATGAATATGAGTGAATATATTGATTACAGTTCTTCCTTAATATCAGTCGATACCAATTTTATTCTTAAAGCAGGTATATGTGTTCGGTGATTGCAAAAAGAAAAATCCTGGGACCAGTCATTTTGACTTGGTAGTTCTAGCGTTAATGAACGAAGATTAATTTAAAGCAAAAAGAAAAAGAGATTCCAAA